TTCAGCACCACATAATACATTTTGTTTGTGTCCAGAACTGTGAAGGGGGTGAAATTTCACCTTGCATTCAAGTCAAGTTATATAGATGCTCTGACAGTTTTATAAATTCTGCCAGAGACATTAGACTTCCAGGCTATTCACAGCAAAGCAGGCTGTGTAGGCTTTTTGTTTCCCTCAGAGTCTTTGCTTCCTCAGTGACAGGGCAGGTGATACACAACAGCCCAGGTAGGTTGCTGCAGACAAAAAGAGTTATGTGTTATGTGTTGTGTTATGTATGTGTTACACATGATTAAATTCAAACATAGGAAACTCTGATATTTTAAGGGGTCTGCAAGCAAACTTCCCCAACCCTTGCCCAAAGATTAAATTATCTTTATTATCCTGTTCAGGAGATCAATCTTCCATTTGCCTTTAAGGGAGATTCTTTACTATCTGAAAGCTATTTGAAAAGATGGAATGGAACAAAAGCTACCAATAGATATGTACAAATGTTATAGGGAATTGTTCCCCCACACACCCGAACAGTATGTTCAGACTGTCCCAGAAATAATCATTATAAAACAATGATTTAAGGGTATTAATAGTATGTTGAGGCTGTTTTACTGGCCTGCCTACTATTTCAGCACTGAAAAGCTGAACTTAGTATATTTTTCAAAAGAATTATTGAGTTACTAACACTGAAATTATGGAAATAACAGTTTTAAGAAGTTGTCATTTTACATAATGAAGAAAAATGAATAAGAAGGAATGCTAATATTCTAAGATCCCTGCATCTCATAAGTTAAATGTGTTAAGAATTATTATTCTGAATTACAGATGAGGTGTTCTCTAATTTATTCATAGCAATAAGGAATGAAAATCTTTCCAGTTCTAGATCACACTAAAATGAATTTGTATTTTGTTACATAGATAAAAATTCATATTCATTCACATATATACACACATGTTGTATCATATCCTTTTGAATAATTTATGTATCCACAGTCAAATCATAATTCAAAACCAAGCAGAATCTCAAGTTAGAATGGATTTTATAAATCATCTGAGAAAATCAATTCTTTGGGGTAAAGGTGTTTTTTTTTTCCCCAAAAATAATGGATTAGTGAAGTTTATGAATTCTGCAACTTCACCTCCAAGATCCTTACTCTGTCGTGGTGTTAGTGACTATCTTCATGCAGACGTAAAGCTGGAACTCAGCTTGACTCTGATATGTTTTTACACTCTCTTTCCTGAATATACATGGTTCACTGATGGCATAATTCATTGCAATAATCAAAAGCATCGATTCTAAAGTTTAATTCTAAAGCTTTGGACTTTTTAGTTGGCTTTCTTTTATATCCCGTCATTTCCCCTTGTCTTTTTTCTATGTCACAACAAACTAAATGTTTCTTCATTTAAAACTTTAAAAACAAGTGTGAAATTTTAAACTGTATATTTTGTTGTCCTTTGTCTTAGCAGAGGAAATCATTGTCTTTTGGGGTTAGCTTTCTTGGAGTGAATTTTTATTTAGGAATAAGCTTTTTGGACTGGAATTCATAGTAAAATGGGATTTTTGTCCAGTGTTAATTCTTTGCTTATTTGCATCCAATTCTACTGTCTGTTTACTTTGCTTTCATCTTAACTAAGAATGCTTGGCATCAATATTTAAACACTATATTTTGTTTTGAGCCATAAAACCTTAAAAATAAAACTTTATGTATAGTGAGTGCTATGACAGCAAAAGAATGCCTGATTTAAAAAAAAAACATTGTGAGAACACTTTTTGAGGCTCATTAAATTAAGGAGAACATCAAAAATATTATTTTATACCTATAATTCAAGCCATAGAGTGATTACAACTATGATAATTTTAATCATATAAGGATCATCATAATAAAATATTCTTACCACCATTTTTATGGATTCCTAATATTATTAATGAATAAGGAATGGATATGTACACATAGTATATGAATTAAGATATAAAACTTTTCTATTTCTAGCACACACGTTGTATGGGGCACAACTCACAAATGAATTCACTTCAGTCTTCATCATATTTGGGATTCAAGCATATACATCAGGTTTCAAAAACAACACTTCCTACAGGGGCCAGTGAGGTTAAAGAAATGTCTGAAGTGAATCAGAGTTCTTGACCCATTGAAAGAATATTTCCAACTTTCAGTTTCAAAGGAATGTTATTATAAATGAATGTATGCCAATTGTTTGTCTTCAGATTTTTCTGGCAAAATCAGAAATCTGTATTTTATGCAAAATTTACTGTTCTTGAATGTTGGCCACTACTTTGATATAGTTAAGCAGCTATAAATTAGAAACAAAATTACTAATTGCTCACTAAATTGGAAACAAAAAACTTCTAATGAATAATATCTACTTTTGACTTACTAACCTGCATGTGTTTTCAGGCCAGAATAAGACCATGACAGATGAAGGGAAGGCAAAAATCAAGGAGAGATCAGAGGGATAGCAAGGGAACAAATTAGAATAGATCAGAAAGAGTCCGTTTTATTGGCCTAGTCCTAATAATGGACTCTAATGGAAGTAGGCAATCCTATGGGGTAGTAGAAAGTTATCCCTAAATCCAGGATCAGAAGACTGTTTTGCATCCTGAAAAGGATATGTTATTTGTAACAAAGGGCTTTTTATAGAAATATTAATATCTTGAGAGGCCCAGGCTACTTTGCTGAGAAATTTCTTCTTCGTTAAAATGTTAATTTGAGAATAAAAGGTAATTGGCTAAAAAAAAAAAAAAATAGGAGAACCAGAGATGTGTTCAAGTAGGCATGGAATAGGGAATAAATATCTTAGGTGTTCTATACTCGAACCTGTGCATCTGGAACCAAGATGAAGGACTTTGGAAGCAATGAAGGAAAACGTGTACTCCAGTTAGAGCTCACATCCCTCAAAATAGAATCTGTTATCACCTGACCAGCAGAGTCCATGAAAGATGATACTTTAACATTAGAAGGTTCTCCATGGAAATCTGAGAAAGGCACAGGAAAGGGACAGGTTAAACTTCCTCTCTGGCAGTTGATTCAGCAAATATAAGGTTAAACTATTAAGTAGGTTTCTTTAGACCTTCAGACAGAGAAAACATTTGGAAATTTATCATTTGCTAGTTTCTCAAATGGATGATATTCTGTCTTTTCACTGATCATAAACTGCATTGTGGGGTTGGAAGACAAATATACATGTTTTTTGTTTTTGTTTTTGTTTTAAAGAAGCTTCCTGGATAATACTACATCTTTATGTGATAGTTGTGATAAAGAGTAAATAAGATATTGAATCTAAGATGTTTGCTAAAAAAAATACCAACAGACTGTGTGTACATAGGACTATGTGTAGGAATCTTAAAAACTCAGTTCTTGTTGAAAAAAAAGGTGAGAAAGTTTTATAAAATCTAAAAAATAGCATTTACATATAATTTTTTAATTTGCACAAAATACAATAATATGTACACTAAAAGATTATATGCATATGGGCCCTCCTTGGTGGTGCATTGGGTTAAAGCACAGCACTAAGAAGCTAAAGCCACTTCAGCATGAGTTTGATCCCTGCCGCGGAGGTGATCCACATGGCTTGGCAGACCTCTCCTGACCCACCCAATGCTCCCCTCAGCAATGTTCTTCATCAATCTGCTTGTTCTGCTCCCCACAATGTCTCTGGTGAATCCTCTCACTGCCCCTGCAGTACCCCAGCTCTGTATGCAAAAATAAATTAATCTTTACAAAAGAATATATGCATATAAGCCAAAAAGTACCCCATCTCAGTTGACACTGACTCCCCTCTAGACAGACAAAAGAAGAAGAAAAGAAGAGGAGAGGAAGAAGAGAGTAAATAATAAATACTTTAAATGAAAGAGAGACCTCTCAAAACCAAGAATGAGCCATAAATTACAGTAAGTTGTATAATCATTTCAAATCTTGGTCCATGAATTTACAAGGCAAAAGAAAGAAAACTGAAATAAAATTCTTATTATGCCATCTAACACATTGGTGTGATTAATTTTGTAATTTAAGAAAAAAAAATAGAAGCAGTCTGAGAAAAAAGTGATAGAGAAATCAATTTCTTTTATATAAAAAATAATATTCACAGTCAGGAATTTGTAAAATAAATGCCAAGTACTTACTGATACCTGCCTGTGGGTCTAGCATAATACTAGCTATTAATGGAGATGAAAAGGAAGTATTTAATCAATCCTCTCTCTTCATGGAAGAAAACCAAGAAGCATGAAATGTAACGAGTCAGTTCTGAAATTCAGTGGGAAATGGATAGAGTTAAAAATGTTTTAAAAATTATAGGCTTGGCCCTCCCTGGTGGCACATAGGTTAAAGCGCAGCACCAAGAAGCTAAAGCCACTTCACGCTTCAATCCCCGCCTGCCCGAGCCACATGGCTCGGCAGACCTCTCCTGACCTGCCTGCTGCTCCCATCAGCAGTGTACTTCGCTAGTCAGCCTGTTCTGCTCCCCACTCTGTCTCTGGTGAAGCCTCTCACCCCCCCTGCAACTCTGACTTGTACCCCAGTTCTGTATGAATAAATAAATAAATATTTTTAAAAAAATTACAGACTTGTGGTATTTCAGATGATACATCATAAAAAAGGACTTACAGTAGTTCATCCCTAATCCTTTCATGCAGCAAATATTGTTGAGATTGCCATACACCCATTTCCAGAAGGAGCATGACCTAGAAGGCCAGGCAGTCAGGTCCAGGAGAAAGACTGGGAGAGGGCAACAGGTTACTGCAGGCAGGGCTGGTTGAAAGGTGGGCAACTCTAAAGCCTGAGCCTTCAAAGGATTTTTTAAAAACTAGGTTTTATATGGAGTAAAAGCTTAAAGATAAGTATTTTAATTGTTCAAATGATGTAAATAAGATAGTCTTTATCTTCTCCAAAAATAGAACAAAAACATGTGATTGAATTTCAGAAAGTATAAAATGTTTTCCATTGTGGTTTATTTTTATATGCATTAAAGTAATAACACATTATCTTTTATTTCAGATACACTGGCCTAGTACAGCACTAAAAATAGAAGAATGTATAATGAAAGGAAAAGACGCAGTAAGTTCATTATATTCATTATAAATTAATTCTTCATTTTATCGCTGGCCAATCACAAACTTTTTATTTGTTCTTATAAAGCATAGAGCAATTATTTTAGAAAGAAAAGAGTGTGTTCATGTTCATATATATATATATGTATATATATTTATATATATATGTGTGTATATATATATGTGTGTGTGTTTGTGTGTATGTCTATACACATACATACACACACCATTTTCAGTGTAGCATTAAAGGGAGCTGAGGTGCTATTCAGATCTTGATTTTTATTTTGTTTTATTATATCATAACTCAAATTTCTAAATCTCTTATGTCCTGTGTATTTGGAAGGCAAATAATTACAAGTAACTTTTCCACTTGAGGAAAACCTAATACATTCTTTCAGATTTCATTTGGCTTTGTTTAGTAAATGAGAGACAAAAGAAGCAACAAAAGGAGGAAAATCAAAAAGTCTGAAAGAAGACAAGCACAGTAGACATTCTTCACCCATTCCATGATGTTTTTAGGGTCTCTTCTACTTACAGATTCAACATACTATTGTCCAGACTTCCCTGCAGTGGTGAGTGGCAGAGGGTGTGTAGCAGCTGCCTGACGCGGTTCTTAGCCCGCTTCACCATGGGTGGAGGCAGGACCTCACACGCTGGGGACAGCTGGCCGCTGACGCCCTACATGTCTTAGGAGGAAGGCATGCATATCTCCTTTTGATATTTAACTTATCATTTTTTTCTCAGTAAGAAAAAAAAACATGTAAAAGATTACCATACATTACAAACCAGCTCCTGATTCTCTGTAGCAACTGGGTCACAGCCAAGGAATGAGTCAAGACATTCTTGCTGACTTATCCCACAGCATGATGCTGACTAATGAGCCTACACAGGCCGTGTCAATCTGAGCCCAGCAGAGACAAATATGGTCTAATTGACTCACTCAAAATGTGGCAATGTTTCAAGAGATGAAATCTTAGAGGACAATAGGATATATTTTTCCATGCCCGAATGATTAGCTTTTCCAATCACATGGGTTAGCCACAAAATAAAATGGTATGTGAGTGAGAAGCAGGAAATCCATCCACCCGTGTGCCCTGGAGAGCCAGGGAAGTAGTGCTTTCCTCAGTCTGCCCGAGGGATACCTGCAGCTGAGTCATTGAAGGGGAGATGGTCTGCTGGCTTTTTGATCCTAAAAAAAGACTCCTGTCATATGGAGTCTTTAAAAGTCACCATCTGTCCTTATAAACCATCACATTTACTGATAATTACATGCAGTGCTATCAAAGTAATATTTAGCATTAAAGATTAATATTTCTCTCATAATTTGTTAAAATGAACTAGCAGTACCTAATTTGGCAAGAAGGTGTTTGTTAAAATAATTTAGACATATTGAATTGATGACATTTGTAAACATTTCTTTTATTCAGCCTACTGAACACACCTACCTAGTGATCAGTATGTTAATTTAAGTACTTTGTTTGATTAACTGGAGAATACAAACATATGTAAAGTAAATACTCTGTCTCCAGAAGCTTGTAGTTGAATGCCAGTATAGGCAAACTAGACCTCCTATGACAAAGGTGGGCCACCTAATTTTTGTGTATGAAGTTTCACTGGAACAAAACCACACAGTTTCATTTTATGTTGTCTATGGCTGTTTCCATGTGATAGCGGTGGAGGTAAGTAGTTGCAACAGAGGCCAGTTGGCATGTCAACCTACATACATTTGGGCTCTGGTTTTCTATAGAAGAAGTTTGTTAGCCCCTGGACTGTAATCTTACAGTAATAGGTATTGAATATGATTTTTATTGGTATATTTCTACTTAATTAAGAGCTCTCTACAAAAGTGTTTTATGTTAATTTGTGGATTTGAAAACATGACTTGCCTATGCATCAAAAATTTTAATACTTGGAAAACTGCATGTATAAATTCAACTTTCCCTAATTACTAGTTTTCTGACTTTATGCTGATTGTTTTGTGTGCACTCAAAAATAATAGCAGAATTGGAAATAACTTAATTACCTTGAAGAATATATTGCAGTGCAAATTTTTATGCTTGAATAAATTCCTGAAGACTTCTTTTTTAAGTTCATTAACCCTGTACATGAAAAATGATAAACTCTTATTATGAAATATAATTCATCCATCACTGCTAAATAAAATGTGCCTCCATCAACCCAGTGTCTTCTACTTACAGTTCTTTGTCCTCTTTTCAATTATTCCTTTTGCCTCTTCTAGCTAAGGGACATTTAAACATGAAATTTCTCAGGTTTGGAAAAGCCAAAAAAGGGCTACCCATTTTTATTACACTGATCAATTTCTTCTTTCTCCCCCTTGCCTTAGAGTGAATGTGCAAATTATGTCCGGGTTTTGCATCACTGTAACAGGACACACCTTCTGACCTGTGGAACTGGAGCCTTTGACCCACATTGTGCCTTCATCAGAGTTGGATACCATTTGGAGGTAAAACAGTTTTGTTTATCACCAAAAAGAGTACTACTGAAAAGAACTTTATCTACAGGAAAAGTTGTAGCATTTGCTCTGATGTAGAGACAATTTGCTTGAGCCAGAGAATGATCTCTACAGGCCTTTAAAATCTTTGTAGAACACAAATCATGAGCCAATTAATTTTTATGAATTTACTCAATGAGCACTTATTTATTTCTGTTGTCCACCTAAAAATATTCCTTAATTGCAAATTGTATTCTCAGGTGAATTTTTGTTTTTGTAACCATCAGCCTAGAATATCTACATGAACACAAAGACACACATGTATGTTTATATAAACAAAATTACTACGTACATTATCTTACAGGAGATATACCAAGACTTGTTGATTCTGTAATTACTCTTTTTGTGAGCTGTGGGAGGAGGACGAGGTGGAATTGGTGGTAGGTGGCAGTTGTAACTGCTTTAAGTTAAACAATGGGATGAAAGCTATGTTTCTTTTCTCCCAAAGGCACCATCACTAGGTAATAGTATGTAATGAAAGCAAATCTCAACTGACTTCTGTCACATGAAATTTACTAACAAGCAGTCTTGAAGATCAGTTATATATATAACCTGTTTCAACCAGCCGGGTAAACTTTCAGCTCTTACTTATTTTAGGCACACTTTCAAACACTTTACATCACAGTTTCACACTGAAGCACAGTAAACAATGTTCTGCTGTCAAGATCTGTTATTTTTTACTTCTTTTCATTTCACCAGCAGGCCAAATCCTACATTATGATGGTCACAGACAAAGCAGACTTCTAGTTAATCTGTAGTTAATTGGCTCGATTCTCTTAATTTTTATACTACCTATGAAAGGGCCCTACTGACAATAAAATGTTTTCAGCCACCAGGGAATGCTACAAAAAGTAGTATTCACTTAACTAGTGAAAATTTATTTCTCATATTTCTTGTACTAGTTAATACTCAGGTGCAAATATAATTAACACTATTAAAAGTGCTTACTCTAGCTGTCTCTGAAGAATGCTCGTAATTGAGTACTTCAACTCTTAAGCATCCCGGTACACAGGATTTTTGATTAGCATATTTTAAATCTTAACTAACCAGTCCTAGTTGGAGACTCAGGTTCAGTTGCACATACAAATACATCATAGTCTGTTTACTAAATTACTTTAAATGAATTATACAGGTGATAAATGGGAGAATTTTATAGATATAGAAGGTAAATCAGTACAGAGCAGTCATATTTACATATATACAAGAATACAAAGTATTCCTATGTATTTTCAAATGTACACAGTCAAAATATAAACATCTTGTGAAACAGATCTATTTGGCAGCACAGTCTCTCAGTTTTGATTTATCTGAAAGTTTCATCCTTACCCTTAAAGGACATTTTCCCTGGACATAGTATATTCTGGGTTAACAGAGTTTTTTTCTGTTGTTTTCACTTCTTTCCAGATTAGAAAGACTTTATTGTCTACTGAGCTCTTTCTGATGTAAATTCAGGTTTCATTCATAATGTTGGTACTCTAATTATCATTCAAGATACCTCTCTTTTGGGGGGGGGATTTTTTTCTAATGTTTTCTGTGTGTCTATATGTATGTTGTGGTGGAGGGTAGATTAGTTTTTATATTTCTTGTGACACTCAGATTCTTGATTATGGAAGTTTATGTTTTGTACCCAATTATGCAAATTTTTGGCCCTTGCTACATCAGTTGTAGTTCTGCCTTGTTCCCTTCTCCCTTCCATCAAGGATTGTTGTGTGTGTATGTTGTTAACTTTTGGACAGTGTCACAAAGGGATTTTATTTTTTCAGATTGGAAAATTTCTATTAGTTTATTTTTAATTTATAAGTCTTTCTTTTGAAATCTCCAACATGCTAGTATACCCTTCCCATTAGTGTTCCTTGCAGTTATTGTACTTCTTAGTTTTAGAACTTTCCTTTTGTATAATTTCCCTTTCTACAATGAACATTCCCACATATTTTACTCATAATGATTATATTTTCCTTTAAGTCTTTGAACTTATTTTTAACAGCAGTTTTGAATCTCTGTGTGCAAATTTTAATATCAACTTAAGTTTGTGTTAAGTCCTTTTTCTCTTAACTGCTATGTACCACATTTTCTTGTTTGTTGGCATATCTAGTAACTTTTATTGTGTATCAGTCATTATAGATTATATGTTTTCAAAATTCTGGCATCTAAGATCTTTTGAAGACAATTGATTTTATTCCGTCAGTTTACCTAACTCAGAACTTACTTGTGACAAGCAATGGCCAAAAATCTCTTAGTTTCCAGCCATAGTTTTTCAGTGTCTGGTTGCACATGCAATTGATGCATTAGCCATGAAGTGGGAGCCTCCCTCTCTTGCTGAAGATGTTTTCTTTGTTGCTTTTCATCTGATCTAGAACTTTAAATCTCTATTCTCTGATCATCCAAGTTAGAAAGTCTCTAGCTTCCCAATGGAGTTCTAGTCATTTTTCACCAAATAAATGAAGGTGTTTAAAAACACTGTAGTCTTTGCTTAACTGATCTCTAGTTCCTTCAAATAATTTTTTATATTTTTTACTTAGTTTACCATTTCCTATGGGAGAGTTACTCCAGTAAAGCTATACCCATCAAGGGACAACAAGGAACTCCATGTAATTCACCTTCATATACATAATGCCAGATATTTTTCTACCATAATTATCTAAATATCAAGTACAGTTTGAAACTTTTTTTTTTTGGAAAAAACTACATATAAAAAAGAGGAATATATGGCCATATGGTAATAAGAAATTTGGTGAAAATTCTATTCAGATAATTGATAAAATTTTATCTGAGGAATGCAAAGGTATAAATTATTATAAGCAAGGAAAGCACTTTGGTTAAAAGCGCCAAGACATTTGCACACGTGGTGATTTTATGAACATTAGTCTACTTGGTTGGGGGAACAATAGGCGATAACTGGGGGAAATTTATAGAAAATGTTTTATGCTAGACATTCTCATTCTGTACGCTGTAGTTATTTATAAAGACAACTTGGAGACCATGAAGGAGGCCATGAACAGTGTCTGAGTGACATGAAATTAGTAATATTTTGGATTTATTCAAGCAGAGAGAGATGAAAGGAAGACAAATTAAAGGAGGCTATTACAGGAGTCTTTGTGAGAGATCATGAGGCTAGTTAACAGTGTTGTTACAATAGCAAGGAAAGGAAGAATAGAACTGATGTGAGAAGGCGCTCAGCAAGACAATTTGTGTGTGACTTGACATTTTATTGGAGGTTGTTCATGAAAGGGATTAAAATACAATTCAAATTTTATTTCTTGATGATTGAGAAGGGAAACAAAGGGCTTAACAGCACGAAGGAGCTAAGGAGGTACAGTAGGTTTTGTGAGAACAAAAAATACTCACTGTTTGTGAGTTACCACTTTTTTTTTATTGCCTTTTACAATCATTTAAGAAAATAGATTTTGGAGTCAGGACAGAATGGTATCAGAATAGATAAAGTTCTTGAACTCTACAGGATTAATGGCTCATTAAGAAGTCTCAATTTCTCTCTCTCTCTTTCAGTTTCTCTTACTTTTCTTCTCTCTACCTTATGAAAATACTGAGAAAGTGCCATTATTTAAATGACAGTAGTATGCCTAGGGACTATCAGTATAGACAGAAACGGCGCATACAGACAAATATAAGGCTAATCATGTTTGTGTAAATTCTTAATCACACATGTAAAAGTGGAAAGAACTTTTTAAAATGATAGACAACATCATCAATGCTAGAGGGAGCACTTTTAGTAAAGGGATGTGTAATTAGAATGTAGGGAATTAAGAAATGACTCAATGGTGACAAAATAAAGGCAGTCATACAAACCTTTTTTATCCTGAACTAAAATTGTTAAGGAAAAGAAGTATAGGGAAGAATAGAAGTTTCCTGTGCGATCTAAAAGTAATAGATCATTCCAATTTGGTATGATTTAGTAAGTTAATTTTGGGGCTTGAGAATGCAAAAAAAAAAAAAAAGCCCATATAAAGAAAGGATAGAAGGACTCAGACCCAAGCATCACTTAGTAAAGCATACAAAATAAGAACATGCTACTTTCAGATAATGGGAAACTCTGTATAAAGAGTGTAGGCTTTAGGAATGTTGAAAGGAGGGTTGTTGTTTTATTTTGTCAGTAAAGAAAAAATAACAATTTATTGAGGATATGATTCCTTGCCATCTTACATTTATAGAGGTAAAGAGAACTATGCGGGGAGTTAGTTTGCCTTAAAAGGGACTACAGAATATTTCAACTGTGAGGACTCATTAGCAGTTATATCGAATGGGTGGCCCTGGCTTGAGCCAGAAATGCAAATTTGACAATTTCCAGTGTGAAAACTGAAATCTTTAGGCATGATGATATCATTGCCTAGGAAGAATGTTTGAGTAAAATGTAAAATAGCAGAACATGCCATCTCGAAATAGTAGTATATGAAAGGCTGCTGGAAGAAAGACCTACAAAGGTGAATAAGGAATTTCTAAAGAGGCTAGGAGGAAAATAAGAGGTGAGAAAGTTCTGGGCTTTCTCACTGAGGGATCTCAGCGTTAGATGTCTGAGAGTCAAAATATGTGAAATGTTGGACCTTAAAATTTGGAGGTATTTATGTGAGACATCTTAATTAAATGTGGGTGCAAACAGTGTCTCTATTGGTGTGAAGTATTAAAACCTACTTTCTCTAGCCACTGTTGTTTCTTTATATTATTATTTTAAGATTTTTTGCTGAAGTGTAATGCAAATACAAGAAGTACATAGCCTACCAGCATGTTGCTAGATCATTTTCACAAATGGATTATTCTCATGAAACAAACATCCAGACTAGTGCCTCCCTGGTGGCTAAGGGGTTAAAGTCTCAGTGCTGTCAAGCTATGCCAGCCACTGTGGCTTGAGTTCAATCTCCTGTCAAGGAGCTGACACACAAGGCACAGCGGACCTCTCTGTCTTGCCCTTTGTTCCCCTAAAAAGTGTATTTCAATACATT